TGATCATAACAGACACTTTATTCTGTTGTCTGGGTCATGAATTCCCCATTCCCCAGTTTTCATAGAGTTTTCTTAAATGTGTGAAACAGCGCCCCTATTGGTTGTAGTAAATATTAACCTATCCGTGTGGTCAAAGACGGTATTGCACCCTTACTGGAGTTAATGGAGAAGTCAGGTAACAGGTGAAGCTAATTAAGTATATATATTTTAAAAGTATAAGAGACGACGCAGGTCATACCACTATAAACTGTGAATGGACAGTTGAAGTGTGAACCCTGTCACTGTCGGGCCCCATAACAAACAACTAAATGTTGAATGTATTATTTAAATGTAATGTTAGGCTAAGCTGATGTCAGCTAGCAGCCATGGAGGGAGGAGAAGAGAAGTCTTGTCAACAAACAAAATGTCTCTCAACGTGGATACTGCGTTTAAATGAAGTTTAAATGAAAGGAAGGTGAGTGAGAGTCACCCTCTGTCTGTGTCTTGCCAGCTGTGTTTATTAAACTCTTAGTTCATGTTGATATTATGTTTATTTACTGTACTGAAGCTGCTGTGTTGTTGTCTACATGAACACAGTTGTATTTAGCTCACCTGCTGACTGTGTGTGTGATATGTTATATTAATCTATTTATCTATATCTATATATTTGTGTATGACAGGCATATAGATAAGAGTGTCATGTATCTTTGACATGTGCAATGTCTCTTTTTTATGTAAATTTAAATCTGTCTAGCAGGCACTGACCCCATCTGGCTCCTCAGATTGATGCTGTGTGTGATGTAGAGAAGCAAAAATCAAATTATTAATGGTTAAAATGCTGAAAAGTCATTAAATAAAGACTTGAGAGGCTTTTTTAGGCCAATTTATTGATTGTTTTAAGAGTAACTTGTGATCAGAAAGGCCAAAACAACAGCCTGCAAGCAGTCCTCAAATAGCAAATGATGCCTGTCTTGGGGTGGATTTCTCCTTCATGAAGTCAGTCTTCGTTTTACTGTGTGCTGCTCCAGTCGATCAGTGTCAAAGCCGTAGTGAGCAGAGCAGGATACACCATTTGGAAGCCAAGGCCAAGATAATCGGTGTGTTTATACATTGTAAATGGCTGGATTTCACTCTACTGTATGTGTTTGGGTTTTCCCAGTGGAGCCGGTCATCAGAACAGGATTAAACCCCGAGGTGCTGCCTCAGTTATCCTGTCTGGAAGAAACCCTTTTTAAATAAAATAACATTTAGTCAGAGTTCTGGGATTAAAGGGGTTTATCTGATCTCGACTCATGTGTCGGCTATGTGAGTTATGACAGCGCCAGTGTTTGCTTGTGAAAGTGCTGTCGCTTACTTTTGACAGCTCTCCTGCTGCATTGGCAGCTGAGGAGAGAGTCAAACACATGAGATAATGGTGTGGCTGTGTGTTTAGGCAGGTAACTGTGGAAATATTCTGTGTGTCTGCACACAGTTTGATTTATGATGACAAATTAATTTCACGGCCTGCTTAAGGACCCAAATGGCAGCGCCAGCTACCCAGAGAACGTGTATGTGTGTGAGTCTGTAGGGGATCAGCAGTAAGGTTGGTTTTGATACCACGTGTTTAAAACCATACCATCTGTTAATTATACATTTGATAGTGTCAAAGCTATTTAAAAAAACAGATCTACAATCAGATTTTCAACCCAAAAGATTCATGTGTTCAGTGACTTTCTCTGTACAAGCACTAGTATTGTTTTTTTTATGTATAAGTATTGTATTGAAATTTAAAATTCTGGTATTGTGACATAACATTAACATAAGCACAGACAGACTAGCACACAAAGATAATTTGATTTGCTTCTGCCTGGAACAACCTGAGTCAGCACAATCAATCAGTAGGGAAATGATCCTGCGTAGATCAAGTATGTAACTAGATTGTAGACCGACCACCCGCTATGTGTTACATGTGAGTTATAACATTAGCGTAAGCAGAGCATGTATATCATTCAATTTCTGGGGGACATAATACACACACACACACACACAGAGCAGGTCTGATGCACATCACGTTTTTTGGTTCTCTGTTGTTTGTTACATTGCCTTACGCTGAGTGAAAGCAGACTGTGGTAGTTGAGCAAAAAGCCAACTTCACATAAACAATTCCTTCGCAATGGTTTCAGCAGTTGCGTAAGGGCGACCGCAACGACTGGTTTCAACTGTATGTAGCTGTACGGGAGTTTTAATCAATAGCAACAGCAAGTCAGCACACATGCAGGCACATGGAGATGGATTCATTATTACAAGGTCAGTGTGCAATCACAGGAAATTGATTGCATAATATCACACAGATGCTGGGATGTGTGTAAGAAGATGTGATGATAGGGAGGCGGAAACACAGCAGAGCAATAAGAGGATCGTACATGTCTTAAAAATGTCCGACTGCAGGACTTATTATGAGCTTGTTTGTTGGTAAAATGAGGTCTTACCTGTGCCTCCATGTGTGTGTATGTCCATGTAATGCAAGGCAAGCTTTGCATCTGCATGACTGATCCCATCCTGGGAGCATGCTTATGTGCGTGTGTGTGTGTGACACAGACAAATGATCCCACTCATCCGGGAGCAGGGTTACAGAGATATAGATTTGTGTTGGAAATACTTTAAGACCATGGCTTTGTGTACTGTGTGTGTGTGTGTGTGTGTGTGTTTGTGTTTGTGAACTTGATCTGGCTGTGTGTGGGAATATATGCTCCAAGATTGTGATAATCAAATTCTCTACCATAATTATACTAAAACTCCTACGGGATGCTCCTTAATCTCTGTTCTCACAGACGCACACACACACACACACATAAATTATCTTACTGCTAGAGCCGGGCTGCATTTCTACATGTAGACACAAAATTAAATACTTACAGCTCAAGTAACAGTGAGTTATGGCTGCCCGATGTGGGGAAAGAAATTATATTGCAATTATTTTGCCAGATA